AAGAAACACTGCATCGCATAATTTTTGTAACGATAAGAGGTTTAATAAAATCGTGCCAATTTCAAAGTTTTCGAAAAAAATTCACAGGTTACGTTCTTTATTACACAATAATCTCCATTTAATTTTTGTTAAAGTTTTAAATTTTAAAGTGTCATAGAGCTTCTCTCTTTATTGTAATAACCCAAAATGGGGAATATTTCCAGGAATGACTAATATTTTTTTCCTTTTAAATTCACAACTTATTAATATAAATACATACCTTTTATATTCTTAAGTCATAACTGTAGTTAATTTCCAAAATCTTTGTTCTTCTATACTCGTTCCCTTTTTTCCTCGAATTACCAAATAACAAACCCCCCCCCCCCCGGTCATGATCCAATTGAAGCTACAATGATCCAACGCTGACGTACGGCCGTCCCCGCGACGGTGACCACGAGATAAAGCGCTTTTTGCCGCACTACGTGCTCTTCGATCGCAAAAGCCTTCGCCTGAACGCGTACTTCAAGCAGGGCATATTCGGCTCGGCCGACGAGCACTGCCGCGTTCGGCAGGTTCGCATAATGTACTATCTCGAGGACGACACGATGGCGGTGGTGGAGAAATCGGTCGACAACGCCGGCTTCAGTCAAGGAAAGCTCGTCAAGAGGTCGAGGATACCAAGGCCCGACAGGCCCGGGGAGTTTTACCACTGGAAGGACCTCAACGTCGCGATCGACATCGGTAAGGCATACCGATTTTTCCTTTTTTTCTTTACCGATCTTTCTCCGATATATTCCTCCCACCCCACACGTGGCGTACGCCGGCGTTGCAGAGATCTACGGCGTGGTGTACCGAGCGGTGAGCTGCGACGGCTACACGCGCGAGTTTCTAAAAAGCCAGGGCATCGACGTCAACGATCCCGAGGAGATGCCGGACGACCCCTACCTCCGCGAGCGCCACCTCAAAAGCCAACAGCAGTCAACCGGACAAAGCAAAAACAGCAGGTCCCTGGCCAACGACAAGCGCTTCCTCTTTCTCGAGTACAACGGCCTGGCGTTGAGCTTCGACGCCTCGTGGAACGACCAGCTGTACAAGCTGCGGTACTTCCTCGACGACAACACCATCTCCGTGAGCGAGACCAAGACGCCGGGCGTCAAGGTCCGGGGCGGCCTGCTGCTCAAGAGGACCAAAGTACCGAAGAACTGGAAGGACCTTCCCTCTACCTACCCGGCCGCCTACCTGGAGAGAACGGACGAGGACGTGCGCGAGTACTACGCCCCGATAGATCTCAAGGTATACATATAATACATGTAATGACCACGATGGAAAAACGAATGAATATATACAGGTGGGCGGGACGGCCTTTGTGTTCGGCCGGCGGTTCCTGCTCCTCGACTGCGACCGGTTCACCCGCAAGTACTACGCGGACGTGCTGAGGATCTGCCAGCCCGACGGTATCCCCGTGCCCCAGCAGCCCGAGGAGGGAGCTAACAGCGGAGGCCCGGCGAAGCGCCTGGCCGGGGAGCCGAGGGACGAGTTGCGCCGGCTCTTCAATTTCCCGAAAAAGTTGCGCTACAGCCTGGAGATGGAGGCGGTGAGGCCGGAGGACGAGGGCCGGGAGTTCGTGCTCGAGTACAGCTTGAGCGACGGCACGGTGCGGATAAACGAGGTGGCGCGCCGGAACTCGGGGAGGATGGCCGGGTGCTTTTTGGGGGCGATTCGGGTGCCGAAACCCGGGGATGACAGGTACTACACGCCCGAGGACTTTGCGATTGGGGCGAGGTTGAACGTGTTTGGCCATTGGTTCGTCGTCACCGGGACCGAGCCCTTTGTTTACGAGTACATGAGGGCCAATCCTGGGAAGTTCGGTGACGAGCTCAGGCGGAACGTCGAGGGATACTTGAGGACCAAGGGCTTGCTGGGGCTGGAGTGCTCGCCGCGTGAGGAGGCTCCTTGCGAGGAGGGGAACGTGGAGTGCAATTGCAGCGAGGATGGGGAGTTCAATTGCAGCGAGGATGGGAAGTGCAATTGCAGCGAGGATGGGGAGTGCAATTGCAGCGAGGATGGGGAGTGATGTGGAGAGTTTGCGCTTACACTTGCGTCGGCGTTTCAATGCGAACGCGCGAAATTTCTCTCGTTCTCAAATCTTTGGTATTTTAAAGAAAATGAGTTGTTTTTTCTTTTCTTTGAAAAAAAAAAAAAAAAAAAATGCTGATATTTTAATTAACCACCATCAGTAATTTCGAATTCATTTTTATAAAACTTTATTGATTGGGCTGTCGTGACGTATACGTCATTTTTCAGTAGTATAAATTAAAATTCTAATAAGGATAAAATAATAGTACAGACTAATACATAATGTGTGTGTGTGTGTGTATGACATTTTTAACGTAAAATTATATAGATACAATTAAACACATGATTATAAAAAAGACAAGAAAATTAGAACCTATAGTGTAGGCTTTTCTGGTCAATTAAAGCTCAAAATTCAAACGAGTTAAACGATTAAGAAAAAACAAACAAAACAAAAAAAAGAGAGAGAGGGAGAGAGTTGTGTAAAGAAATATACAAATAAATCGAGTAAGTAGTGATGATAAGACAAAAAGCCAACAAAGTAAGAATTTTCCTTTTATTTTTCACGCAACTCAGAGATTTCGGTGAACGTGATGTTACACCAACGTTCGGCCTTCAAAGTTAAATAGTCTCTCCTCTCTTTTCAAAAATTTTGTCACTTTTTCTTTTTTTTTCTTTTTTTTTTTTTTTTTTACAATCAACAATCGATCTGTTGCATATCCCGAAAAATTACTACAGGTAGTCAAGTAAAATTATAACACTTAGCTCTTGTTTTTATATACTCAATGTTTCTTCATCTAGACTAAACATTGTTAAACAAAGGCAAGGGATGAAACCTTTGCCTTTCCTTAGAAATAATAGTGTGTGATTTCTTTTCTCAAACAATAGCATCTAGCGTACCACTCGTGTTTATAATTATATTTTAAACTACGAAAGTCGATGATAGTCTTCTAGGAACAATATAATCAACATTTTTCATCAGACTAATTATTTATTCCTTTATCATTGGTTTGTTAGATTACGGTAAAATATACTCTTTTGTTTAATCGTTCAGACACGGAACAAAATAAATCTTAAAATTATTATCAAAATTCGTGAAAGTCAGCTCCGAGCAAAAATTCGAAGCACCAAGAAAGAGATAGAGAGGCAGAGACCTACAAGTTTTTGTATAAAAAGATATCATTCGTGGCTGGAAAACTTCCTTTCATGCTATTTATCATCTTAATTTTTTGTTGTAAAAGTAAACTTGCTTAATGAGTCACAATTAATTTCATTCCAGGGTCTTTCTACATTGTTCAAGAGATAAATAATAACAGTTATTATTTAACAATCAAGAATCGTGTCTCGTGAAAGTTTCCACAAAAATTACAATAGCTACAGTTTAATACACCATCATTGTTATTATCGTCAATTGCGTCACAGTGATTCGAAAATTCCTGTAACTTTCGTATCTGTGCAGCACTTTATCATTCGTTTCTTTCTTTCTTCTTTTTTTTTGTCAAATGAACAATATTTTCTGCTTTGTTTTTTTTTGCATAGATTGCAGACAATGATAAGTTTTTAACATAATTGTTGAGCTTACTAGATATATATGTATATGTGTATATATATATATACACACTTGTATTTTAAGAATTTTCCGGCACCATTACATGTGTTTAATGTGTGTACATTTTTTTATTTAATAAGTTTTATATTCATTCAAATACTCACGTCATCTTGTGTCCATAAAAATTCAAAGTACATGGATATTCCTTTTTCTTCTTCTTTTGTTCATTCTTTCAAACCAAACAACACTTTTTTGCTTAATAAGTATACTTTACTCGCTGCGCTTGTATATAGAATTTCTTTAAACATTTTCAACAAAAGTACATTCATCAAGCATTATACAAGAAATAGTGTCCACATTGTGTCGTAAATACAGTTATTTTCCTTCTTACTTATTTTTTTTATTTCTCAGATGTACGCGGCGAGCGATGAACCAATCGGTGTCCTGTGTCTCTTTTGTTTACATACCATTTACATTGTTGACGCATTCATATACATTTTTTTTCTTGATGTATTATATATGATTTTTGTTTTAATTATTGTTTAATGAAGTTCAAATCGTTTTGGATGATTTTTTTTTTCTTATTTCAATAAACACCATGTAACAATAAGAGTCAAAGCACATAACGACGAGGACGACACCACTGCACTGTCAAATTCATTTTTGCTTTGTTTTTCAATGATACTCTCCAGCTGCTGCTGATTACTGGTCCGTCTAGCGATTACATTTAAATGAAATACAGGTTTGCTTGCGAGGCTGTGCACGACGCTAATTATTATCATTATCAATGTCGCGGCAAATGTCGGGACCAACGTTTCTCTGATCGTTCTGGCAAGTTGAAGTAGTACATTACTTGGTAAAAGCGAAGGTAGAGTATAATTCATTTTCTTCAGTTTATTATCGGCGTAAGTGGTGAGACTCACGAGTAGTTGCTGCTACTGACGTGAGCCGCCTCTGCCTCTACCGCGATTATCGCGATCCTGCAAAATGATGTGTAGTGAATTAATTCTATAATATTTGTTTGTTTTAATCTGTTTTTGTGGCAAATAATATCAAAATTTCATTTTAATTGTGTATATAATACAATCAAATTACAAAAGTAAACACTTACCCTGCGATGATGTGCATGATGGTGTGGTGGTCCATGATGGTCCCTGGAGTGAGAATCATTCGAGTGGGATCCCCTGGCACCTCCTCCGCCACTACCACCACCACCAGCACTACCACCACCACTACCACCACCACCAGCGCTGCCTCTATGATTTGACGGTGGATGGTGCTGCATTGCATTGGGCGGTACCTTGCGCTGGTCCTCCTCAGCCTGGCGTCTCTCATAGTGGCCAAAGTCGTCAAAGATGCTGGTCGTGTGCCGATAATTATGCAAAATTCGTAACACCTGCACACCTTTGGCATGGGGCACTTCCTGAGCATCCCTTGAATTTGTAACCGGCTTATTTTCGTTGTTCTCGAGCTTAATATGGCGTAGCTGTACGTTCGGCACGTCTTTAACATAAATCCAGCGTACCCGGAATTGTCCCTTCCACTTATCCTGCGACCAAACAGAGCTGTTGCTCTTGTAGTCGACTGACGAAACCATTTGGGCCATGCCACAAAAGTGTCCCGAACCGTTAACAGAGAAGAAAAGATAGAGAGGCGCCGATTCGCGATTCGCTTCACGGAAAGCTTGGTCCAGCCGCTTGTTACCGTGCTCTGTGCTACACCAGATCTCGTACTTGATCGACCTGTGAATGTCGTCCTCCGAATACGACTTGATCACAAAAAATCGGGCACCCGGAGCCGTTTGATCAAAGTCAATTGGGTTGTAGTCATTTTTGACTTTTAGCTCGTCCAACACTGGATGCGACAAGACTGCCGTCGACATCTGTTGCTGTTGCTGCTGCTGCTGTTGTTGTTGTTGTTGTTGTTGTTGTTGTTGTTGTTGTTGTTGTTGTTGTTGTTGTTGTTGTTGTTGCTGGTGTGGATGATGTTGCTGATGAGACTGAGGAGGATGTTGATGCTGAGAATGATGTTGCTGTTGATTCTGCATTGGATGATGGTGCTGTGTAGAATAAATTTGAAAATTTAAAAACCGTGTAATGTTACTAAAAAACATTTAATTTTTATAAAACAACTTTACATTCTGATTATGCTGTTGCTGTGGGGGCGGGAACTGTTGATGATGCATTTGTAACTGAGTAGACGGTGAAGGTGGGCCTTGAGGTTGTCTATTCCAGCAAGAGGCTACAGGTGCAGGTCCTGATGGTGGGCCAGGCGCTGGTCCTCTCTGAGGCAGTTGTCTCTGTACAGCAGTGGAAGCGGTTGGTTGGGGTGAGGGCATAGCCGGTTGTAGCGTAGGTGGTGAGGGTGGTGGTGGAGCCTTTGGCGGTGGCATGGAGGATTTACCCTCACCCCAAGTACCAATGTCCATGTTATGCTTGCCAGGTATCATCGGTGGTGGAGCTATACCAGTTTTCTTTTTAGGGCCTTGACTCAAGGACACAGGTTGTGCCGGCTTCGCTGGCTGGCTGGCTACGCTAGCCCATGTTATCTTGCGGGGTTCTTTAGGCTCGATTTTCGGCAGAGGTGCCGAGACGGAAGCGGGTTGTTGTTGCGATGAAGTGGGCTGAGGCTGATCCTGTCTCTGCACCTACATAGTTGTGGAGTTACACAATATTTTACCGTATGCGGTTATTTATGTTTTGTCATCAATAAATTTTTATACGTTTTGCAGTACTTTATAAAAAAAATTTACCTTATTACTAATCGACAACCCTTGAACTCCCTGTTCTATCACTTTATTGTCACCAATACTAGAACCATAATTGTCCCCGCTACGGTGCTGGTAGTAGTCCTCGTAGCGGGCTTTTCTTGGCGTGCCCCAGGCACTAAAGTCTCCATTACCATGAAAGTAGTTGTGATAAGGCTGACCAAAGTTACCAAAGCCTCCTCCAGTATTGGAAAAAACACCTTCCATGCCGTAAGCATCGTGGCTCATTTGTCCACTGTATCCAGGCAAGAAAGTCACAGGATCTGTGCCATTAGACCAAGTACCATCTCCCGCGCCAAAGGTTTGATACTGAAAAGATGTGTTTGCATAATAGGGACTGAAGTGATCATTGCCACCGCTGTTTATTGGATAGTTGGAGTGATGCTGATTACTGTTGCCCCTCCAGGACTCAAAGCCAATGTCCTCTCCAGTGGAATGGTCTCCAGGTTGTTGATGATCCTTTGGGCCATTGCTCACTGCATGAGTTTAAAAATGGTACATTAGAGAAGTCAAATTTTTTTTCTTTTTACTGTCTAGTCAAGTATTTATTAGATGCCCAACTCTCAGACACCTCAGATATACTGGTTGTATCAACAAGTGTTATAATAATTTAATACTCATTTTATAAAAAAAACAAAGGTCAAAGGTGATATACCAAGCTCATGATTATGTAGTGAATAATAAATGAATATATAGATAAAGTCCTGTATTAAAATCATTATTTATTTTAATGCATAAGTTATAACTTTTAAATAACAATAAAATAATATACTATTGAAGATTGTACACTTACATCAAAACACTATGATACAACAATTTGGAAAGAAACTCAATAATTTGGTTTGATTAAATTAAAGATAATTGTCATGTAACACTGAGTATTTAGTCTTTCAGTACTTTAGATGGCTTGATGAAAAAAGTACAAAAGGAAACCTGTCAAGTTAAAAATTCTCTTGTAACAATAGATCTTTGAGCTTTGGAACCAAGACGATTAAGTTATCTGTTGTTTCCTTATAAAAATGTACTATGAGTTCGAGACAAAGACGAATTATGTTTAAGTATGTACCTTGTGGCATTACTTTAAATTATTTGTTAAAAAACACCTCAGGGATGACTCACCTTGACTGTTGGACTGCCCCTTCATCCGCTGCATTCCGTCTCATGGAAAATTCGTACACCTCGAACGCACTGCAGTTTCTCCAATGCTATACGTAAAATTGATTGTCAAAACACGAAAATAAAAATATTTAATAAGACACGATGGGGCCGATGTGGGCCGCGTCTGTTCCAAAAGTGCAGCCGCACACACTTATGCATTCGCCGCACGAGCACTCTTTGTGTATGTGTGTATATATATACAATGTTACCATACACTCATAAGTAAAAGTGTCTGATCCCCGAAGTCCCAAACCCAGCTAGCCAGCAAAAAGTGATGTAGCGGTAGACAGCTGTCGGCGGCGGCGATCCTTTAATCCTGGATGCACGTACTATATTTTATGTACTCAATCAGGTACTAATCACCCAGAAGAGTACCCATCCGGTCGCTCTCTTTTCTCCAGTTGACATAACCTCCACACCGCGTCGACGCACTTCCCCGATTATCGCCCACACACATATATACCCGATATTAGAAAATGATGTATATTATTCCCAGCAGAAGCAGTGGTATGTACACCTACACCTACACCGAGAGCAATAACAACAGTATATAATATATGTAGAGGGTAAACTCCGTTCTTGTTAATTGTCGTCCTTCAGGTTTACCATAAAAGCTAAGGATAGAGAGGAAAACTCTTGATGGTGTAATTACCAGTCCAGCTTCTCACATACATATGCGCGCACAAACTGACCGACTATTATTCTTTCCGGTAACATAAGTATAGACACCTAAGTACAACCTCTTCGTGATAAAAGTTCCCTGATAACAACAGCCGCTTGTCCTCTCTATGTTTACCTCACTCTTTATTCACCAACTGTTCACCATTCGCTAGTAAGTACAAGTACCTAATTGTTTCATGCACTACTCTCACAGTGCTTCGCAGTTTCTCTCTCTTCCTTTTCCTGGTCTGCTGGACGTGGGAAGACACGGGACAGCGGGGACGCCAAACAAAACTCTGCGCCGCGCACACAACTCTCGTCTCTTCTTCTCTCCTCTCCTCTCTTTTCTTTCGCATAGGCCACAGTACCTACTACAGTAGAAAGATAATATTAGTAGGTATATACCTATATATTAGGTACACATTACACGATTACACTTTTGCATTGGTACGGTCATACGGTGGTGTGACACTGGTGTGGTACTGGTACCACATTTACTTTATCACGGTAAAGTAGGTACATTACTCGTGTCACTCGTGTGTACATACAGGTATAAGTATATATCTATATGATAAGAGTACAAATATTAAATACAACGGCGTACTTACGGCTCGTCGCCGAACGTAAAAAAAAAAAAAAAAAAAAAAAAAAAAAGGGAGAAATAAGAGATGAGAGCAGAGAGTAACGAGAAAGAGAATAAAGAGCAAAGCGGGACGACGAAGACGAGGGCGAAAGAAGGAAGGAAAAGGGGAGCTAGATCCCTGTATTTGATGTGTGCGCGAGAGGAGGAGGTTTCGTCTCGACTTCCTCTCTCGTGAGCGCGGCGCGCAGCAGCGAAGCGAAGCCGATCAAATATCCTCGGGAGGATATGTGTACGTGTTTATTATTATATTCTCTTTCTTCCCTTTGCAACTCTCTCCCGAAGCTCCTCCTCTGTTCTCTTGTCTTTGAGCTTATAGGGTGAAGATCAGAGTTCAGGGTGATGGTGTCTGGTGCCAGAGCATAATATTGCATCATTGAAGAATACGTTTTCTTATGCAGATCGCATACATCTGTTGCATCTATTTATATACTTTTATTTATTATTTTGCAGGAAAATTCAGAATTTTCGCAGAGAGAGAGAGAGAGACGAAGGCAGACGCGCGAGTCGCGAGTGTCGTGACGACAAAATACACACACCGCAATGCACATCATTTGTATACGCATACTTAAAGCTCTCTCGTCGGCTCTGCTTCTCTGAATTTTATTTATTCCCCCTTGCGTTGCGTAGGAGTTTGCGGCACGTATGTACGTTTTGAGCGGTGTATTTTTGCAACGATAAAACAACATGCGGCGACTCCGTTGTTCGACATCAATATCCACCTTCCAGCAAATCGTTATCAGCTCATACAAATCCGAGAAGACGTAGAAGAGATGCATTTTATATACTAATGTGTATATTCATGTGGAATCAGAAAAAAATCCATTTTAATCATATATTCTTTTAACAGTACAAAAATAATGTACCTGTGTCGCTTTACTTCAAGTGTATTAAGTATATATTGCGTGCTTAGGAGTAACCAACAGGTTTTTTTTTTTTTTTTTTTTTTCTTTTTTTTGTAAAAAAAAAAACAAGTATACTGAACCCCCAAAACACTGTACAATGATGTAGGTAATAAAATATAATTTCGTTCACGCCAGGTAGCGCAACAATTTGTCCTGAAAGGCACCGACATCGAAATCCCTGACGATTTCAGCGTTAACCGATCCGCCATTCGGATCGACGATTACAGTGCCCCCGTAAGTATCGTTGCAAATGACCACAGACACGTGCACCTCTAGGCGCGAGGTGGCAACTTCCGGCCAGATCGCTACTGCCGCGGCTATCGAGTCTGCCGGTAGCCAGCCGTTCGTTGACTTATTCAGAACGACGGCTTCCGCTTTGTTTAGAAAATCCATCACCTGGGAGTTCAGTTTGCCCAAGACTGTGGTTCTCCATTGCTGAAAATGAATTAATCGACGATGACAAAATTGTTGCGATCGGAACGAAGATATCGTGTTATACATTTCGATACCTTGGATATGTTTCTTTTCAGCACGACGTCCCAAGGCAACACGAGGATCTTCTGGTGGTACGTCGGCGACTCGAGAAAAACGGCGTCGCTCTCGGGATCCAAGCCAAAGTTGAACTCGGCCTCCATCTCTGGATCGTTCTTCCCACGGATATTCGAACCCATCACGTAAAACCTTTTGACGTTGCGCGTGAAGTTTGGATCTAAAGATGACGCGAGCGCTACGTTCGTCAATGGTCCCAGAGTTAAAACGTTGATGGCACCTGATGTTGGGCCCGATTATTCGTAGCGTTATTCGTTTCGCAAACAATTAATATCAATTTCCACGTGCAATATACATATAATGCACATACCTGGATATTTTTTCGTCATTTCGATCATCGCGACGGCCGCATGCGTAGATCGGTCGACGCTACCTCGGATCGACCTGTTGAATGTGAAATCGCCCAAACCGTCTTTGCCAAAGTAGTCGCCTGCCGTGTAATTTTTCATCCATGGCCTCTTCGCTCCTCCATATACGGGAATCTATAGGAAAATCGAAAATCCGATCAGTTTGCCGCATCATATACTATACCGATCGGATAAACAAAATATCTATACAAATGCGTAGGACCGACGATATATATCTCACTTACGTCAGTTCGATTCGCGATCGTAAGTATCTTCAGCACGTTGGTCTCGACGTTGGTCTCGTTCGTGTTACCGTAAGTACAAGTGATACCGATCACTTGTACATCGTCCTTGGCCGCGAGTACCAAGAGAAGCGCAACCGCGTCGTCGCCGCCTGCGTCGGTATCGATAATAAGCCTCGTTCGATTGTCGCACTCATCGATTTCCAAGTTGGAGGGTTTATTATCTGCCGGTCTAGTGAAAAATAGAATGCTAGAAGAATTTTAGTTTTTTGAGCTTGAATAACGTTTTCATGGCTAAAAATTACATGCGACTGATTGTTAATTGATAAGGAAAAGAAAATTCAGCGTGTGTTTATAAAACATACAATGGAAAATTTATTCGTACAAATAAAAATACACGATGCACGTCGTGTAGACCGACTCTTGTGCACACGAAAGTTTTTATACAAATTTATTGATGATGATATTGTCTAACTTTGAACTTAACAATTGTTCCGATCGTTCGATAAATATTTTTTTTTTTTTTGTAGTTTTTAGTTAGGACTTGAAAAGTCCGCCACAGTACTCACCGCGTTGTGCTTGTTGGATAAAAAATAAAATAATTTATCAAAACCGAGTTAAAGGATGAGAGCCTATATCTTAGAAGTTAATGCTAGAAAAATTATAATAGCGAACCGATTGTACTTATAATAATTATAGTCTAACCTCGCACCAAACACAAACATTCTGCAAAAAAGATGTCACATGGCTCTTACATAAAATATGAATAACTCGTGTACTGTACAGATACATACCAAAAATGAATCGAAATGACGAAAAACGTGATCGTCAAGACCTTCCAGAGCATATTGTTTTCACCCTTCATTCGAGCTTCTGTGCTCTCCGATCAAAAATTAAAAAAAAAAAAAAAAAAACAAACAAAAACACCTTCACTTTGAAAAAACAATGCACACGTACCTACTTATATACGTATTACAAGCAAAAGATATACTCCGACACAAACAGAGAGAGAGACGCACAGTGATCAGCTTAGTATTCGCGCGCGCATCCACCTAATTCAATTACGGAAAAGTTTATAAAAATAAGTACACGAGCAGCGGCGGAGTTAAAGAGTTGTGTAACGAGTGCAATGTCAAATTTTATCTTGGTCGAATATACGTATCTACACAAGTGCTTGTGTTGTGCGGGATAATAGTATATACGCAGAAAGTAGCTGGTTGATTTGACGCTCGAGAGCCGATTTTATAAATAGTTAAAATCTCTCGAGCTGCCCGATAGATACGAATTCTATTTTATTTTGCACCTTATGTTGACGGAACTGGCTCTTTTTTTATTGCCATCACTGTATTTTTTTTATTAACGCAATTTTATTTGGAGTGCTTTTCATCCACGCCTTAAATACTCAACGACCTTGAGATGAAACAAATAGATTGTTGACGAGCAGCTCAACTGCTATGTTAATTAAAAAATTAAAATCCAACAACACTTGACCGGGCACTGGTATCTTGGAAACAGGCAAATAAATCGATATTACATGCTACAGTGCTTGTACTCTCTCTTAACAATAAAATTTTCTGCACCTATTTACTGCGGCGTATTATTAAACTTGGAATCAGAAATTGTTCTATTCAACTATCTTTTTTTTCACTTTACACTCGTTCCAATCTGTTTTCTAGTAGAAAAGAACTTTGCAAGGGATTGTACTGCACCACCAAAGGTAGATTGTACGGTGAGGGTTCGCTGTATCCAACCGGGCAGTGACTTCGTCTTATTGGCGTAACGTTTGTCTAATAAAACAACGGTTGAATAATCGGCCACGTGACGTACCGCTCGGCCGATGCACTGGTTTACTGCCTTCATGCAGGCGTTCTCGTAAAAGACTGCGCCAGCATTTGGATTCTGTAGTTGATTTTTTTTTTTTTTTTTTTTTTTTCCGGTAACATTTTATAGAAATAAATCATATAAAAGTTTTTTGAAAAAAAAAATACGTACATTAGACAATTCATACTTACAACGTTCTCGTTCAAATATTTCATTTTTTCCTGTAGCTCTGGCGACTTGATGTTTGGATATGGCATACCGACTACCACGACACATCGACCTAAATCGTCGGAAAAATTTAGCCCCTCGCTCAGTTTGCCACCTCAAGAAAATTAAACAAGAGTATAAAATATTTAAAAATAATGAAGAATCAACTGTTATGTAAAATATTAATGTAATTACGTACCAACGACACTAAATAAAATAGCTCCATTTTGAGGCTTTAGAGGTTTCTTGATAGCACTGGCATATTTTTCCAATACTTGGTTGACCTACAAATAAAAATATTTGCAAAATGATACAAACAGTATTTATAAAACGTTATTTCAATCAGGCACCTGAGTTGTTGATTTGGGTTCACGAAAAATCGATTTTTTCGTACCGATTTTCGTCAAGACTCCACTCGTTTCTAAATGCTTAAATAATAATTCTTCATAACTGTAGGACGGTAGAAAAACTACAATGCCTGCTGGTACGATGTTACATATATTAATTATCGTTCTTCCTAATTCATCCAGCTACCAAAACATAAAAATAATTTAAAAATATTATTGAGTTACATAGGATACATGCATAAATACGTTTATTGTCACACACCAATTTTTTGTTTTGTCTATTTTGATAATTGAATTCGTATTCAAGTCCTGTGGGACCACTCTTCAGAATACAAGTAAGAATATTTTCTTTGGGAATGACGTGGTCGCAAGAAAACGTAACGATTCTCTCTGGTTTAGCACCCGCACTCAGAAAGAGTTGATCTTTGAATTCGGATATAGGTTCCATTGTTCCACCAGCCAAAATAACAGCTCTTGCTTCCTTTACTGTGATAAAAAATTATGAATTTATTTTTGGTAAGAAAATTACGAGAATATAGATTACACTTACTGATGTCTGAGAAATGCATAGCAGGATTTAATAAAAGGAACTTCATTTCCCCTTGGCCAATTGTATCACCATGAGTGACAAAAATTCTACCATCACTGCAGTTTGTCTTGAGAGTTTCAAGAAAGCTTGTAATTATTATTAAAGGACTGGTGATTTGTTCTTTCTCTTGCTCATTTTGGTCTTTTGTTGAATTTTCTTTAACTTCTGCGTTATTTTTCTTCTGCAGAGTTTCCAAAAAAGCAGAAACACCTTTTTTCTCTTGAATTGGTTTCTTAAAAACAAGATCATCTTCATATTTTTCGGCATACCCTCGTAATTTATGAATTAATCTAGACTTTTGTATAAAATCGATTAAATCAAAAATATTTATTGTATCTATTTCGGCCATTGTTTCAAAGTCCTCTAGGGTATACAATTTAGTTGTAGTTACATTGACAACTTTATCATCTGGACAAGACTTTGAAGTGCCACCAAGAATTTTAATTAATTTTTTGAGACAAAAACTAAGCTGGCTCAATAGTAATACGTTTTTAGCCGTTAAAACAGTTTCAAATCTAATAAAAAAATAATTTTTGCACGTTTTATAACAAGAACCTGCACAAAAAAAATGTAAGCAATTACCTTTTTTGATACTGAGACAATTGATTGAAACAATGTAAAATATGTTTTCCAGTAACAGTGACACTGTGCATTCTTTCAATGGCTTCAAGCAAATTGTGAGCTTCATCAATGATTAAAATACTGTGATTCAAGTTTATTCCTGAGCTTATTCTAGTGCTTTTGTGCAAAATTGAATTGTAAGGAACAAGAACCAGCTGAGCATCCTCAATTGATTTCCTTGTTGCATAATAAGGACAAGTTTTCAACTCTTTGCTTGTTTTTACAGTGTCCTCAATATCTCTGATACTAGTTAGTATTTCTGCCATGAGTATTGGTTGTTCACCAGGCATATAAGGACAGGATGTGGCTGTTTTTAAACGTTTCAGATCTTTTTCCTTTTTAGAGGTGGATTTCTTTTTTTGTAATTGTTGACACTGTTCATTTATAATACTTATATTTTTAAGAGATTTTATTTTTGCATTTATACAATAATTAGTCCTGAAATGTTATTAAATTACAAAAAATCTAGCATGTATAATTCAGATTTTTATACTGACCTTGATGCAAGAGGTACAACAGATATCAAGTCAGCATAAGAAGTTTTTTTCAGTTCACCAATAAATTGAGCAAGTTGAGAATGTGTTCTAGAGCAAAAATATAACTTGCAGTCTTGAGAAACTACCTCTTCTTCTTCATCAGAACTGTCAGATTTACAGTCTGTATCTTTTAAAACAAGATCATCTTCTATGTCATCATCATTTGCAACTTGATTGGTATCTTTTTCATTCAAAGAATGATTTCTTTCATTACTTTTACTGTCATTTTTTGCATATTTATAATAGTTTTTTTTCTTTTTACTTTCTTCATAATAATCTTTTAACTGCTCCTTGTACTTGTTTCTTTTTTCTTCTTTTTTAACAAGAGTATCTAATTGCTTTTGCAAGGATTGTTTTTCTACATTTATCTTTATTTTTTCAGTTTGAGCAGAAAACCAATCACTGACATTATTGTCCTCAATTTTCTTAGATTTCCTCTCAAGATCAGCTTTTTGATCAGTAATATTTAATTTTTGTTTGTTCTTGTGGTCAATAAGCCACTTCAGAGTACCACAAATGATTGACAAAGTTTTTCCGGTTCCAGTGGGACTCTCGAAAATGCCAAGGTTACCATTTTCTAGGCACTTATACAGATTTTTCATGAAGTCTTTTTGAATTGGGTATGGAGGAAATGGAAACAAAAAATCTTCGGGTGGCTCCATCGTTTTTCACTTTGTTTTGTTCATAAGCTTAGTATTTATGTATTGACTGTATCTGTAGTACAATAATTTTTATCACCTCGAACAAAACTGCTGTACTTTTTTGAAGCAGTGTTATATTGTTAGGTGGACAAGTATATCCTTAAAGTAAATGATATTAAATAAATGTTACCTTATTTGTCATTCATGAGAATAACACAATATAATACAATAGAAAAATTGTTTTTATATAATGAGATTTACACACACGAATTATATTTTTACACATAACATTATTTAACTCTTGAAAATATTAAAGTACTTGTACAATAATATACCTAACTGTCGGTATGAACAAGTAAATAAACTTGAGAAAATTTCTGAAAACTCTGCAATTTTCACTGATATTTTGGAGAGGAAGTATGCCTTTACAAATTAAACAAATATAAGAAAAATACAAATTATGCGGATCATCGCCATCTAGCGGTGTTCACTAGTGCCCCTGTGCCCCACTGCCCCGGAATGATATATTACTTAGATGATTGAATCTGCTCGGGTAGACCCTACACCAACTTACTTTAAATTCACTAATATCCATAGCAAAGGGTCTATCAGATCAGCTCCGGTAGACCCACTATAGTCCCTGTAGCAAAGGGTCTATTGGATCGGCTCCGGTAGACCCACCAGTGTCCGAAGCAGAGGGTCTATTGTACCGGCTCCGGTAGACCCGCTGCTCCCTTCCTATATATTCATTATAGTCCCCGTAGCGGAGGGTCTATTGAAGCGGCTCCGGTAGACCCTATGCTCACTTCCTAAAAATTCACTAGTGCCCGATTGACGGGCTGCCGATAAAAGATTTATCGAAGAGTCCCGCTATACCGACGGGAAAGCTAAATTCCTGATATACCGACACCGAGACCGGCGATGGGCCAGTTTTGTAACAGGTTCCTGGTGTACCGACTGTCGGTTTACATTGGCAGGTTTCCCTACAGCCGGTACGACATATGTCGTCTAGGGGCATGCTTATCGATCCTGTCATGCCGGTACAGCAGGGATTGAACATTCTCGTCGGTGTAAAAGGACTCTGCGATAAATCTTTTATCGGCAGTCTGTCTTTTGGTCATGTAAATTTTCAAGTTTCCTAGTGAATTCATAGTGAGTGAGCGTAGGGTCTACCGGAGCTGCTCCAATAGACCCGCCGCTGTGGGCATTCGTGAATACATAAGAAGTGAGCATATGGTCTACCGGAGCTGCTCAAATAGACCTTTTGATTCGGACACTGGCGGGTCTACCGAAGCCGCTTGAATAGACCCTCCGCTGTGGACATTATTGAATATATAGGAAGTGAGTATATGGTCTACCGGAGCCGCTCCAATAGACCCTCCGCTACGGGAACTAGTGAATTTATAGAAAGTGAGCGTAGGGTCTAATGGAGCCGATTTAAATAGACCCTTCGCTACAGACATTATGGTGTGACTATAGGTATAGCCTTGTAAGTTTCTCTAGTGAATTTCTATCAAGCAAAAGAAATATGGTACTTTTTTAGTTTGGAATCAGCCTCGCTATTATATAGGTATATGCAAAAGCGGATATGCAAGGGTCTACTAAGTAGACTCTACTTGTCTGGCAGAATGCTGAAAAGAAAGCAGACGTGCATGCTTTGTAAATAATGTGCAATCGAAGCTTATAATAGCAACAAAAGCGCAAGGTGAAATATCAACAAAGTTGAGGTGCCTTGTATTTTCAAGAAGTTACTTAAGTACCCCTAGTGCGAGTGAAAATCTGAAAATGAATAAAGAGGAAAAGAGGTATATAGAGTAGTTTCAAAAGTTTACGTCGACGAAGAAGAGGAAGTAGAGAGAGTAACAGATCGGAAGAGAAGAGCGGAAGCTGTTGCAGCTGCTCTCTTTACACTATATAGAAATATGGTGAGTTAAATTGAGATGTTGAGTGGTATGCGTGTGTATATGCACATATGTTGTACGTTTCTCCTTTCGTTTCATTCATTCTTCATAATATGTCTATGGGCCCTTTGCTTGGAGCTCATCTGTTTTTTTCTGGACTGAACTTATTACTCGTTTTACTTTTTTTTTCTACGTTTTGTTAAAGTACATTCACTCGTTGCTTATTTTTTGTTTTGTTTTGCTTTGTGACACTCAAATTACCATATCATTTATTTTCTAAGCTACTTTTTTTCTTCATGAACAGTTGTATTATTTTTCCAAGTAACTTGTTATACAGTTTTTGGAAATTTTTTTGTTTTTGTGACAAGTTTATTTGTATCACTGATATCGAATATTGATCAAATACAGTTGATTAGAAACGTTATACATATTATAATAATATCAAGTACTAAATATGAACTACATTACAGAACTGAAATAAATCGGTTGTAAATACAAAAATTCAGCAAGATGAATGGAATAATTCCCGAAATGGAGCAAATTATCAGTCAGCTCGAAAGAGGGACTGTAGTGACAAAGTTCTTTTCAAGAAAAAAGCCAGAAAAAAAGACCTTGATGATTCGTAGAGAAACCAGACAAATCATCTGGGCAAGAAGTCCAACAACAAGGCCTTTCGATGGCTCTGGTAAATTTGTTTGAGTACAAATTGCTCGACTTCACTAATGATAGAAACAACTCTCAAAATAAAATATTTACTCGTAAAATTGTAATTTCTAGTGGATATAAGAGAGGTCAAAGAAATAAGGACGGGAAAAAATTCCAAAGACTTTGAAAAATGGCCTGAAGAAGCTAAAAAAATTGAAAACCTGAGGTGCTTTGTTGTTTTTTATGGCTCTGAATTCAGACTCAAAACATTGTCTATTTCAGGTAAGCCATTACATTAAACTTCTTCTATATGAAATACTAACAAATAACTTTAGACTAATATTTAAAATTTTCTAGCCTTAAGTGAAAAAGAATGTGAGTTATGGATGAAAGGCTTGAGGCATTTGGTGCAAGACACTATAAATGCTCCATATCCTTTACAAGTAGAGAGATGGCTGAGAAAAGAATTTTATGCAATGGAAAACTCTCAAGAAATGTAAGGTGAACTTTAGCTTATTGTCTGAACTGATGAAATATATTTTGTTAATGTTATTATTACAGGGTCAGCCTAAAAGACGTCAAAGCTTTCTTACCAAGAGTTAATTGCAAAATTCCAACAAACAAGCTCAGGGAACTGTTTCAAGAAGTCGACACAAAAAACAGGACAGAGATCGGCTTTGACGACTTTGTAACACTTTATCACAAACTTATGTTTGATTCTAACGTGAGTTAAAAATAGTAAAAAAGTTATACGCCGATTTAAAAAAAAAATTTTCTACCTAAAGTTTTATTTTTTCAGAATTTTACGGACTGGAAAAAGCTATTGACATACTCTAATCCTTCTATGATAGTGAGTTTGCAAAAATTTCAAAACTTCCTTATTACGGAACAGCAAGATTCCTCTGGTAACAACGAGCATGAAATGTCGCGTTTCATTCGCGATTACTTACAAGATCCTCAAAGGGACATTCAAGAGCCATATTTTACGTTTTCGGAGTTTGTTGATTTTTTGTTTTCCAAACACAATGAAATTTGGGACAACAAGTTTGATCAAGTCTTCCACGATATGACGAGACCAATGTCTCATTACTGGATCGCCTCGTCGCATAATACGTAATATTTTGTCAGTTAATTAATTTCTACGATTAACTTGAAAATCGTCACCTAATTACATAATTTCCTTAGATATTTGATGGGTGATCAGATAAGTAGTGAAAGTAGTTGTCAGGCTTATGTAAGAGCTCTGAGAGTTGGATGCAGATGTATAGAATTGGACTGTTGGGATGGACCTGATGGGATGCCTTTCATATTTCATGGGCACACTCTAACAACGAAAATTAAATTTATGGACGTTATTAAAACGATCAAAGAACACGCTTTCATTACATCGGAGTGGGTTTGCTTGTTTTTAAAAATAATTGTTAAAAAACTCAAGATACTCATTACCCACCGATTTTGTAGGTATCCAGTTATCCTGTCGATCGAGGACAATTGTACTCTTCCGCAGCAGCGGCGAATGGCTCAAGCGATGCAGGAGGTATTTGGCGATATGCTTCTCGTTCAGCCAATTGACAAGAACGAATCCTGTTTACCGTCTCCTTACGCATTACGTCGCAAAATTATTCTCAAGCATAAAAAGTTGCCGGACGGTGTGGACGAGGGTTCATTCGTCATACGTAACACTGACGATTTAGGCAGTCGACAGGAGATGGATCTTCGCAACACCATAAAAAATGGAATCCTATATCTTGAAGATCCGGTTGATCATGAATACAATCCACATTTTTTTGTTCTTACGGAGCAGAAACTGTTTTACACTGACACTTTTTCGAGGACACAAGAAACCGAACCAGAGGATGAGGAAGAAACAACTGTTGTTAGAATGCCAGGAGACGTAAGCTCTAATAAATCGACTTATTATGTACTTTTGTCAATGATGTTGTTACTAGTGAACACGACTTTTTTTTGACAGGGAGTACCAAACGATGAACTACATTTTGGAGAAATGTGGTTTCATGGCAAATTAGCACGGGGCAGAGAAGAAGCCGAGGAACTACTACATAAATACTCACACTTGGGCGACGGTACGTTCCTGGTGAGACAGTGCGTGACTTTTGTTGGTGACTATTGTCTATCCTTTTGGCGCAAAGGAAAGGTCAATCATTGTCGCATCAAGTTAAAACAAGAGATGGGTCAGACGCAGTATTATCTCGTAGATGTAAACTATTTCGATAGTTTATACAGTCTTATTACGCACTACCGCAATCATCCTCTAAGAGCTCAAGTAAGAAAAACACGAATTAACTTACGATCTTAATCATGAAAATCACAAAAATTGTGTAGTTTGATGCTCTATTGCTCTTTGTTTACACAAATTTCTGTAAATACTTGAAAATCGACTTGTAACAAAGTGCCAAATTAAATTTTTTAATACATTAATTTTTATTTTCAACATGTAACACTTTTAATTGAAAAATACATTACTTTATTTCGAAGTATACAGACACACGCATTCAGATGTATTACGACAGTCGCCGGGTGTAAGGTAATTAAGTGTGCCCCGTCCATGATATTTACCCAGTGTTTAATTAATTTTATTATGTTGATGTTATAGTTGTTCATTTTCTTGTTTTCATCACGAATACTTTTATTTTTTCAATGTTCACCAATTTAAATTGTTTGTCGTATTTTATAATTTTATTGCGATTCCTCACAACATTCCGAACAAAAATATACAATGCACATACACGAGCTTTTGCATTCCTTCAAAAATCCTCTATATCTATTCGATTTAAATGTAATATATTTCCTGAGAGTATGTATCTATAATATTACATTATTATTTCGCGATTAACAAAGTTTACGAATTACTACGAGTTAATCGCACTAACGTATATTTAATAGGAATTTCTGATAACTCTACAAGAGCCAGTACCACAGCCGAATAAGCACGAGGAGAAGGAATGGTGGCAGAGAGACTGCTCCAGACTGCTGGCCGAAGAAATGCTGAAACGCGTACCCACTGATGGAGCGTTTTTAGTGAGACCTATCGAAAAAGAAAATAACTGCTATGCGCTATCGTTCAGGTAAAGGTATTTAGTTTTTCGAAAAATACCCTTGAATGTATTTTAGATGATGATTTTGTTGTGCCATTTTTTCAGAGCTGAGAACAATATAAAGCATTGCCGGATCAAGTTGGAGGGACGACTGTATACGATCGGCACTGTGCAATTCGAGAGTCTAGTAGAGTTGGTTAATTATTATGAGCGACATCCTTTGTACAAAAAAATCAAACTTACCTTCGCTGTTAATCAAGAAGTCGTTAGGATGCAAGGTTCCATGGTAAATTACAGTCTTAAAGTGCAGTATCAAAAATCTTTTTAAGAGTGTAAAAATTCAGACGAAAATTTTGCATTTTTTTTAGGATCCCGACGACGGTTCAGTTTACGGCATACCAGGCTACATGGATCCAACGACGTTTGTTTCAAAAGTTAAAGCCTTGTATGACTATAAAGCTCGCCGAGACGACGAGCTGACTCTGGTCAAACACGCAATCATAACGAATGTAAATAAGCAGAAAGATGGTTGGTGGCGAGGCGACTATGGTGGAAAAAAGCAACACTGGTTTCCTGCCAACTACGTCGAGGAGGTCGAGCAAGATAGCCAGACCGACGTATGTCCATTAACCACGTGTAAAAAAAAAAATTACCATAAAAAAAAACAATTTAATTTTTTTATTAGTCGTCCTCTGACTCGATGATGCTTGGAAATTTGCAAAAAGGCTCGGTAGACATTGTCGGTGCTTGCGTTGAGTTGGTAATGTCGGACAGGCCGGGTCTCGAGTGGACTTTGAGAATACAGAACCCAAGTATGTGCTCAGTTTTTGAGGTGGCGGCTCCATCCCAAGAAATTGCTCTCGAGTGGATGCAGAAAATCGATGAAACTGGACAGAATGCTAGCGTTAGGGTGAGTCAATGTGACATTTTTATTTCACGACCTATTTATTTGTATCATATGTTTTCTATTAATCCCATTATAGGAAAGCCAGCATAAAGAAATGGAACGAGCCTGGCGAATAGCCAAAGAGATGTCGAATCTCATCGTATACTTCAGATCAGTAGCCTTCAATGTGGATCGACTCCGTTCCAAAGGTTTCATTTACAACGAGATGAGCAGTTTCCCGGAAACGAAAGCTGAGAAGCTCATGTGCCAGCAAGAGACCAAGTTTTTTTTGCGCTACCATCAAACACAATTCAGCCGTGTCTATCCTAAAGGTCAGCGTATCGATTCGTCGAATTACAATTCGATGCCGATGTGGAACGCTGGCTGCCAAATGGTCGCTCTCAACTACCAAACCGGAGACAAACCTATGCAGCTGAATCAGGCAAAATTTCGAGAAAATGGAAATTGCGGGTACTTGTTAAAGCCGGAGTTCATGTTTCACGAAGATTACAATCCGTTTGACAAAACTTCCCTTGTTGGAGTTGATCCGCTCAAAGTTACACTGAACATAATTGGAGCGAGGCATTTGAATAAAGCGGGCAGAGGTGCTGCCTCGCCTTCTGTGCAAGTAGAAGTCGTTGGTGCTGATTACGATAGTGGTATCAAACTCACGACAAAGACGATTAGTTAGTGTCAAATTTTAATCAACAAACTCATTTTCATCCTTATAGTTTTTTGCTAATTGCAAATGTACTTTTTAGATGACAACGGTTTTAATCCCATGTGGAATGAATCTTGCGAGTTCCTAGTATCAAATCCGTATTTGGCCCTAATTCGTTTTGTTGTACAAGACGAAGACATGTTTGGAGATAGTAATTTTATGGGTCAAGCAACTTATCCTGTAGGTTATTAATGATTAGCACCTATTTGTTAAACCTAATCATTTATCGGATTTTAATTTATTTTTTTCAGATTCGTTGTTTAAGAACTGGTTACAGAAGCGTTCCTTTGAAAAACAGTTATAGCGAAGATCTTGAATTGGCATCGCTTCTTGTGCACGTGAAAATTGTCAGTACAAATGTGAGTATTACATACAGTAAACAACTAATGTGTTGCACATTAAAATATAAGTATACAGTTGTGGTAATTATTAATTTAAATACTTTTCTACAGGATTTAGCGCAAAATAGTACTATCACAAAATTTAAACGGCCTCACATACGGTTAATCTAGTTTCCAAATAATCTTGTGACAAACTGATCACCAAAAGCAAAGCTTCAATGTAATTTGTTATTTTGATTTAGGTAGTTGTACATTTACCAATAATCACCTATAGTGGTTATTAATTTTAAAAAAGTAATTGTTTCTTTAAAAACGCTTTTATTATAGGAAATTTTTAATGTACAAAAATTATCACATTTGTTTTTGTGATTTTTTTGAACATAATTATTTTATTAATCAATGTTGAGGAGTATATATACAACGAAACAGGTTTTGACAGCTATTTTGAAAATTTTGTAAAAGAGCGCGAATATGAGATGTATTTACAAAACTGATTTTATTGAGAAATATCTACACAAATGTATACATAATAATATAATATGTCTCTCTCGCGATATAAATCATTTAACACTTCTCGTAATAGGATTTAAATTTTCTGTGCATTCAATTTGCATTTTTTGTCAAGACGAAAAACGACTCGAGCGAGAGGGTGTATATAGGGAGCTAATCCATCCTCCATCGAATGCCTTCTTATGTATAGGTAATGAGTTTTCGGGGTATGATTTACCGGCGCCCTCTCTCACTCCCTCCCACCTTACCATCATGTGTATATACGAGGGAAGCTAATCTGCATTTGTTTATTTATTCGGACAGGCGCGAGTCACGTCCTTGCGTATNTCTTCCATAGTATTTAGGATCAAGATATGTGTGGGTATGAAAACGTCGTTAGATTTATTTACATTTGTATTATTTAGATTTTTTACAACATGTATGTATTGTTTTTATACACCTTTTTTTCAATAAGCTAAACACAAAGCAAAGTATAACACAAAAAGCTCATTGAATGTACTAGATAATTATTAAATTTATACGTACATCATCTGTTAAGTCTGTTTAGCTTTAGAATGTGAAAAGAAATATCGTATTAATTGTACTCGCACGACTATTATAATGTTAAATGAGCCCGAAGACCTTCGTTGAATGCATAATTATGTTACTTTAATGAAAATAAAATTTTTTATATAATATAATACTCTTGAAATTAAATTTCATTGGCAAGGAAAACTGTAGAGGTGCAAAGTAGTCGCACGACTGCTGTATAAATGTTAATCAATCTCGTTTCTCCCAAGGATAACTTCAATTAAGAAAAAATCCATATTTTCATTGATAGCAAAGATTTGAGGAAAGTATCGTTACATTCGTTACGAAAGAAAAAGATTTGTTAATATATATAAACTTTATACATATATTTTTTTTTTTTTTATATTATAGTGTACTGATCTACTATGGGTATGTATACTGTCTTTATTCATTTAACATTTTACATTTGTCTTTTAACATGTCGTTTTCATCGCATCATTATACATTTCTCTTATTTTCGCTTGTCATTACATTTTCGTTCTTTATTATTCGCATATCATAATCTTTTTTATCTCCCCGGTCACGCAGGACCGGTTATCGAGAGCTTGTCACAATTGTTTATTTTTCAATCGCTTTATTATTTTTCTTTTCATCTTAGAAACTACTTAGAAGGCTGTATTCCGCAAATGCTACCAGCAGTCAAGTTACGTTAAATCGACCTCCAGAAGTATAAATATACTAATAGGTCAATTTTCGAATAAAAAGTAAATTGTAGAGTTGCCGCAAATAAAAGAGACAACGTCAATTTTTTATTGTTTATCTATGAGATTAGTTGCGGCTGGTTTATTATTGCTTAAAAGGCTCTACTGTAAGTACTAATAATTATTTGGATCAGCGCCATCTAGCGTTGCGGATTTTTGAACTAAAAAGTGGCCCTAAACTTTTCAGCCAGAGCTTTAGCGCGTAGAGCCACTTAGCCTATTATAAACCAGCCGCAACTCATTTTGTAGCTATAAAATAAAAAAATAACGATACATGTGTTTTTGGCGGCAAGTTAACAATCTATCTTTTACTCGAAAATGTATCTTCAAAAGTATAAATACACAGGAGATCAATTTTTGGTAGAAAAAAGATTATTAACTTGCCGCCAAAAACACTTGTATCGTTATTTTTTTATTTTATAGCTACAAGATGAGTTGCGGCTGGTTTATAATAGGTTAAGTGGCTCTAAGCGCTAAAGCTCTGGCTGAAAAGTTTAGGGCCACTTGTTAGTTCAAAAATCCGCAACGCTAGATGGCGCTGATCCAAATAATTATTACTACTTACAGTAGAGCCTTTTAATCAATAATAAACCAGCCGCAACTAATCTCATAGATAAACAGTAAAAAATTGACGTTGTCTCTTTTATTTGCGGCAACTCTACAATTTACTTTTTATTCAAAAATTGACCTCCTATTAGTATATTTATACTTCTGGAGGTCGATTTTACGTAACTTGACTGCTGGTAGCATTTGCGGAATACAGCCTTCTAAGTAAATATATGTATAAAGTTTATATATATTAACAAATCTTTTTCTTTCGTAACGAATGTAACGATACTATGATACTTACTAACCGCTGTGGTGGTAAAGAGCAAGCAGTTCGGTCGCGGTTCGCGGTACCACGGTGATCAAGCGCGGTATCGCTTTCCGTACGCCAGCGCGTGCGAGAGAGATGAAAGAACTTGACTGAACTAGTCAAAGTCCTCCCTCAGCACCAGCGCTTGCTTGCGACGATGGCATGCGTCGTCGGCGGGCTGGGGGCTGGGCTGAGACGCTATACATACATATATATATATATATATATACTCGCTTTCTACTCCCCTCCCTCCGCTTCTGGCGAGTTGGCGGCGTATATGCTAGCGCTGCTCCGATCCGACTGCTCCGAAATATTATCGCCGTCGTGTCAGTCGAGCCGTGTACGTGTTTACCTACCTTATCGCGCGACCTCCACTGTTCCATTCCATACTCTGTAGACCCTCGGCGTCTTCGACGACAACGACGGAGAGAAAACAATGCCCCTTACCTCTTACCTAGTGTCAAGATTGTATGACATATTCACATAAGTGCATGCCATCGCGGAAAAAAAAGTACCATTCCTCTTCTCCAGCAGCCGCGTGCAGTGCATGTTGTGGGGGGAGTGGCGCTCATACGCGATTCGCGTACACGGCGACGACGAGGGACAGCAGCGTTATTTTACACGCATTATCTGCGAGCTTATTCCTACAGTGACTAAAAGACTGGAGGAGACTATACAGACTGAATAACACTGCCCGAGCGCACCAGCTGTTCCTTATAAGTACAGTCGTCCTGTCAGAGGTAAGCCGAGTAGGATAATCCTTGATGAATTTTGTGTGTACAACATCCACCCGTAAGAGAAAGAGGTGAGTGACCCCCTTCCCCATAAAGGAGAGAGAAAAACACTCGCAGTAGCAGCGGATTCGCGTTTCATGTACTTCTTACATGTCTTTCTCTTTTTTACGCTCATAATAATATTATATGTGCTATCAGCTATGTACAAGCTAGAGAGAGAGAGAGAGAGAGAGAATTAAAGTTTTTTAAAAGGCCTCTGGTGGTGGGCGTCTGCTACTGCTGCCAGCAGCCGATTTATATGATGGGTGTTCTTTTTTTTAAAAACGCGTATATATACATACCTATACTATCATGTGGCTCATGCTTTTTTTCAATGATAACAAACGATGAAGGATGAAAATGATAAATAATGTTTATGTACCACTAATAGTGAAAAACTATTAACCGGCGCTTTGGCGTTTTCATTCCATCATCGCTGCGTGAGCTATTTTGGAGATGAAATAATATATGACCCGTTAAGTTTTTATGTCAAATAGGTCGTGTGTTAAGTTGTAAGCGTATACTAGTAAAATGTGCAGGAAGAGCGTGAGATCAAGCTAAAGAAAGTTTTTCTCTTCGCATAGACACAGATAAGATTGCAGGATAAATATCGGGGACAGGTGTCCGTGTGTGGACTGACAGGTACACTCTTACTGATCTAATTTTTTTCTTTCTTTATTTTTTCTCTCTACGGCGATGAATAAAACAGTGGGAGGATACGATGGTGTGCTGTTGCAATTGTGGATTACATATTTATGAGTTTAACGAAGTCAGAGGCAAAAGATATATAATTCGTGTTAGAGATGCAGTGTGGCTTTTTTTTTGGAGTGTGGCAATATTAAGGAAATTAAAATTTTTAGTGTTGGCTATTCGTGTAATATATTGAAATACAAAAGTTTTAATACTACGTTTGGCTCTTCACTGATTCGTTTTATGACAATAAGAGTTCATTTGTTTTAAAAACTTGTATTGATTTGTATGTGTGGTATCGATGTGTTATTCGTGTTACGCCACTGTGTTGTTTACAGGCATTTACAAAATATCACGAGTATTTTTAATGAATACATAATTACATTTTCTATAGCGTTAAAAAGAAATGTACAGGCAAATAGCAAAGAGATACTATTTGCATGGATATAATATATCATTCCACATAAGCCAGTCTATTCCGTAAATCAGTTTCATTGAAAATGAAAATTTCTTCTCAAAGATAAAGTGTGTAAGTACTGCCATAAAGCATCCGGTTGTCCGTGAATAAAAACTCACATCAATTTATCAATGGATCAATGTGTTGCACAAACATGTCTAGAATAAAAGTATGTCTTGACGATCGCAGGAGATGGGTTAACTTTCAATTGCAAGTACCTATATTTATAGCGTGAAATAAAAAACATAATTTTCCAGAGATTCCAACTGAAAGTGGACTAGAAAGTCCGATCGCGAAAGTAATTGACATTTTTTTCATTCGCCGCGTCTATCAATCGGTGCACCATATCCAGTGGATGGTTTGTTTGTTTTTTCCTCATTCCATGCCATACTTTACTCAAGTTTGTAGAAGCTATAAAAACGAAAGATTGGTAGAAAAATTCTCTCATCGTTATAGTGTTGTATTAATAAATATGGAAAAAATAAGAGTGTTGTTATATACCACACGACATTATAACGCTCCTTCGAGCACCAAATCGTTAACAATTAAAAGCGCATCCAGTAGATCTTTTGTAGTGCATATTAAACCCACGTACTTACCTGGCGTTTGAGGAATTTTCATGCGCATACGTGATGATAAAAGTGCGTCTCGCTACTTTTTCCGTGGATTAATAAACCAACCAAGTACTTACCTTCTTGTACATGGCGGAAGCGCGTTACAATCTTGCGACTGTGTTGCCTATCAATCTCTTGTTTCGAGGAAGAAAAAGAAGGAAGGCAAATACATAGGTATTAAATTCATCGAGATTCGGTGGTGCGAGTGGAATCGCGTGGGAAATCTCCTTTACATAATCTCAAATTAGTTTGTTATTCCTCGACTGCGTTGTACATAATATGGATATACGTGCCACAGGGCAAACAGAAAATTGGTGCCGCTACTTTGTTGGGTTACATTGGAATTTTGCAGCGCAGTTTCCTCTTCGTTATTTATATTTCGATGTTGTGTACAAACGAGCGCCACCACTAGGAAGTAATTACTGTACATTTTTCCGATTGTTTGTATGCATAGATATACAATTGTGGCTCAGTAACGAAAGTCTTATAACTGATTGAAAAGCATCAAATGTTGATGTGAGTACAGCAAAAAAACACTAGTTTGTCAATTTTTTATGAAATCAAGCATGATATCAAATAGTTATCTGTACAAGATATCCTTTCTCTCGGTGGTACAAAAAGAAATCCCTCATTTTCTGTACCTGTATATTTTTTTATAGTTAGAGTCTATAAATGAAAAACATGGCTGCGTACCTCGAATCAAATGACCCATTTATATGTAAAAAAAAAAAAAAAAAAAAATCTTGGACAAACACGTTCACATTGCAGTAATAATACACTTTGCAAAATACCCTCCCATGAAAAATACATTAAGTACACGCAGTGGCAGCAGCAACGGAGCGAAATTTCCAAACAAACGAGAGCCGCGAGCGACATTTCATTTCAGCGGAGGTATGCCCGATGTATTAATAATAATAACAATAACGCAGAAAGGAATAATATCTTCGGCCGTGGGCAACCACGTGGGTGTAGTAACAACTCGTTATTACAATGGAGTACCAGAGCGCGACGAGTTTTGGCTTGGTAATTTTTTTTCCTTCATTAATTCCGCTTTTCGCGCTTAAAAGCCTTAGAACTATTTAATAAAAAAATCTCAACTCGTCGACAGCGATTTTGGCAGCAATACGATTTTAACGGTACTTTACTTGTGCCGGTGGCATCCTCAAATATACATATATATATACACACAAAACGCACCGAATGAATGATTAAAGGATACTTTTGTATATATAATACATATACGTACAGCTGGTACACCTATATATACCGATGACCGGAGGTATTACTCAACGTTTGAGCTCTGCAACAAACTCTATCTACCTATCTACTACTCGTGTACTCCTCGCCTGTAATTTTCGCGGATATACATACACACGTACCACCGACCGCGTAAAATCACTCCCCTTTTCTCTCTCTCTCTCTCTCGTCGTTCCGCTACACACACGCACGTATAAACGCGGCATTAGCATAAATGCGCGTGTGTTTTTTACACAATGAAAGAAAAAAATAGAAAAAAAAAAAAAAAAAAAAATGTGTTCACGGTTGAAAAGGCGCGAATAAAACGGTGGCATTAAACACGCGTTGCATCCCCTCCCACGCACGTACACACACACAGAGGTATAGTTGCAAACGTTCGTTTCACGCGGTAATTACCTGCTCTCTCTCTCTCTCTCTGTGCGAAGAAGCACCTGATGCACGCGATACAATTTTTTGTTTTGTTTTTACGCGGGATGTTGCGATGCTTTGCGCTGTGGTTGGTCGTTAAATTTTATACGCTCCCCCACGGGGTGTGGGTACTTGTTTTTTTTTTTATTTACTATATTTCTATTAGAATTGGAGTATTGATCGCAAAGTAGCTCATCGCTTCTGGATTGATTCTTGGCATACATATGTAACTGATAGTGGTGGAAAATGGGCACGTAATGTCGTTTATTTCCTCGGTTAATCGATGTTAACGTGTAGGATCTGCGTGAAAAAGTATATTTCGGTTTTCGCATCGATGTAGGTATTACAGCGGCGACGGGAGGCTTTCACGTGAAAGTTTTCAGGAAAACTCCCCCCCGCGCGACTACTCTCTCGGGCCACTTAACCCACAAACGCGACGGGCTATTTTCCTCGCTCCTTTTTTTTTTCTTCTCTTTTTTCTTTTCATACGTGCATTAACGCGCGGATGTATACCCATATACAGCAAGCACCGAGAGCCACCGCACAACAGCTGTTCTCGACAACTGTGTACTCGTTCAAATAAGTACGGCAAAGCTCTTTTTCGTCAATTTTCTTCTTTTTTTTTTTTTTTTTTTCTTTGTCGAAATAATTCGAGAATTTTTATTTTCAACGGCTCTGGTGACGCCACCCGCGCCGATTGATCCCTCGGGCGCGAAGATTGAGTTGTACGCGACACTACTGATTGGACGCGACTGTGTGTGTATGTAATATATTGTACGCGTTAAATTTTACAAATCAGACTGCGCGCGTGTATAATCTCTGCTTCTCTAATCTAATAAAAATCAGTGATCGTCGTCCCATTGTTTCTCTCGTGGTCCATCCGCGCGTGGGTATATATATATACGCTTTTCGTTATCGAAATTCCTTTGAAATTAAAACCTACTCCTGCAGGAGCAACGGCAAAAAAAAAAAAAAAAAAATCATAAATTCATCTATGGTTCAATAAGTGGGTCGGGTGTATATACCTACCTAGGTGTACCTATATATACTTATAACCACGTTGGCCCGTAATTTCAACAATCAAACATTATATGCCTATACCTACCTATCTTATATTTATACCAACATAATATATGGCAGCTATGTAGAGTCGCGCTCCTTTTACCCATGGCAACAATCGCCCTGATGGTGCTTTTTTCGCGCACGCACGGATCCTCCACACAGGTCTATAAAACAAGATCGTGGGAGAGAAAGCCGGCGCGAGAAACAAAACAACAGAGGCTCTCCCGGTTCTTTTTTTTTTTTTTTTCTTTTCTTTTTCTTTTTCGCTAACCAGTACACTGCGGATTTTCCCATCTTCCTTGATTCCCTCGCGCAAAGTTCGTCCGTGTGTTTCGATGCGCACGTAGGTATATATAGGTAGGTGCAAATAATACAAAAGCGCAGGAGATAACAAACTATCCCAAGGCTGCGAGCGTCCTAGTTTATAATATATGTACCTTATATATATACCCACCGCGTACACTGATAGATATATATAATATAAGTACTTACGCACGTGTTCTCAGCGATACGAGTGTGGTCCTTGTACGTGTATCAGTACACCTTGACCTATGTGTGCACAAATCGCCAAACGAGCGCACCTGTTGGGCTTTGGGGGGGGGGGGGTTCGTTTCACGCCTACGCTGTACGCGCGAGTGTACTCTTTTAATTAGCTTCACGCCTTCTTTTCGTAACTTTTTTTTTCATTATTCCTACGCTTCTTCTCTGTACAGGTACACACGATAAACTCGCGGTGAAAACTCCGTCACACGCGCGCACTGAAACATATTCGACCCACAGCTATTTGATTGCCGAGCGGTTTTTCCCTCAGCCCCTTTATCGTTGTTTGCTTGTACAAAGGAAAATAGTTCCTCTTGGGGCAGGGCTTTGTTCACATATACAACGCGGATGTAAATGTAACGTACCTATGCACATAAGACTTGGAACCGCGTGTTTTTTTTATGGGACTGCCTCGCGGGTGTGTGTACATATACATACATTTAGTCGAAGAGATTCAATGGAACGAAATAACGGGGGATGAAAATGTAGGTCGGCCTTTTATGCGGAATCGCACCCCGGATACTTACTTTTCTTACTTCCGATTTCTCATCTCCTCTCCCAATTGACTGCGCATGCATGTATAACATTGGTACTTTCTAAAAAACAAAAACAAAAAAATAAGTGGACCTCGATCCAGTTCTAAGCACCACTGTTTTCTTGTGACTCACTCTCGACCGCTTGAGAGTTCGAGCACACATAGGTATTACATTTTCTAATGCCCGTAAGTATGTGCATACCTGTACGTGCAATGCGAGGCAATGTAAAAGCGCGTGACTAATGCACAATGGATTCTATAGAGTTGGGAGGGAGAGAGAAAAAAAAAAAATTGAAAATAACTGATCGTACATCTCATACCTGATGTACACGTGGTACCTATAATACAACTTAGTGGTATACCCACAGAGGAACGGACACATATACATACTCATGCGCGCGTGTGCGCTCAAGAAAACAGGTTTCTTACCCCATGAGGTGATGGGTGTTGTTGCGAAGCAAGGTACAATGCGCTCCAGGTATAATATTGACCACCACACGCCAAGAGAGAGGGTCTCCAGACTGAGAATGAGCCGGATGATTCACCTTCTTCTGGTTAAAAATGCGAAAACCGAGACGGTCCTCCTCCTCCTTTTTTTTTTTTTTTTTTTTTTCTTCCCCTGCTCGTGCACGCGCGTGGTTCGAGACACCGATGTTTTTCCGGGTGGCGTAGCAATGGGAGAACAAAAACAACAGTTTGTTCCGTGATTGAATTGGTTGTGTAACTACTGCTTTTGCTATAGGGATCGATGAGAGGCTTTTAAATCAAATTTCGCCTCCGATGGCCACTTGGGGTTGTTGGTTTTTGCCGTGTATTTTTGCCTCCTTTGTTCTGGTTTGTTGGAATATAATCATGGATGAAACGGCACGGTTGACACGATTGTTTTTTTTAATCCCAAGTTTCATTGGATGAACTTGAGCAGTGCTCCGACCGAATACCGATGGTCGACTATCAAAAGCTGTTTGTTATTTGTTGATTGCATCCTAATGGTATCGAGATTGTATATTTATATTTAGCGAGGAAAATAAAAGAGTATCCAATAAGTATGTAGATAAAAATTATCGATTGTGAAAAAAAAAAGTACAAAGATAGGTTTGAAAAAAAAGTTTTATTTTCGGTCCGTTTGCCATTTTTTTTCCTCAAGTGTTGAGAAACAAAACTGTTGGCGTGACCTTTTTTGTGCAACGCCGCGAGAGATGGAGAAACAATTCGATGATCTTCGAGAGAGAAATCCATGTCCCTCTTTTTTTCTTTTTTCTTTTTTTTTTTTTTTTACATAAACCGCCCAACAGCCAAATCGCGATGATTCATCGATGATTCTGCTTCTCCCAGAAAAGTGAAAGGACGCTTTTTATCCCTCGGCCCGTCGTCCGCCTGTTTTGAAACCATCATACCTACTTGTTGGCCAAATGACAATTGAATCTGGCCATTGATTGATCATCACTTGTTATCGTTGTTGTTTTATCTCATTTCGAGTGAAATCAAATCACCAGCCGTAAATCCATCATATGTCTCGCTTGAAAAAGGTATAAAGTGCGGAGAAGAAAAAAAAAAGTTTGCCAAACGCTGCATTGTTACGTAAACGTATATATATGAGTCTAATAATGGAATAAAAGCTCCTGCTCACCTATAGGTGACACACATCGGCAATCAATTACAGGTCAATAAGTAGCACGGCGTCACAAGCGCGTCAGTCCTGATGGTTATGAAAAAAAAAAAAAAAAAAAAAAAATCTTGGACAAACACGTTCACATTGCAGTAATAATACACTTTGCAAANAAAAAAAAAAAAAAAAAAAAAAAAAAAAAAAAAAAAAAAAAAATGTTCATGAAAAGTGAAGGATAATTTGAATGCATGTTAAAACGAATTTTCGTTTACTGCGTTTCAAGCATAATATGTTATATAAAACATAATACAACTGAATAGTTTTATTTATAGCGAAAGAAAATGCTTGTGATTTGTGAGATGTATATTAATTTTTATGTCAACCAGCGATGTATTTTATTTACGAGGTTGTCCGTCGAGAAGCGATTGTTTTTTTCTTTTTACAATGCGAGAGAATTTTCATTGCATACGTGTGTGCGTTTATATCGTACCTATTAATCGAAAAAATCATTCCGAATGCAAAGTTTCATCATAAATGTTTGTGAAATATTTCATACCTGTGTTGAAAAATATCTGTATGGACTTGGATTATCAGAAAAAAGGTCTCCTCGTGCAGCACAACCTCATCAATTGACTAACGTTGCTATGTATAAAAGTCATTGTTCAAATGATTTTTGTTTGTAAAATGTAAGATATCCAGCGTTAATCAATGACCTCTTCGATGATTCTGCATTTGCGAAAAAAAGCATTTATTTTTAATACAAACAGAAAGATGATGATGATGATGATGATGATGATGATGATGATAACAATCTATTTCCATATGGGTTTGTTTTGAAAAGTGTATTTTTAAACGATAAAATCGATGAACAGTCATCGAAGAGGCTTCACACTCAACATCACCCATTCAACATGTAGGTATACATATACGGCACATGTAAAGAAAAAAGGTATTTTTTTTAAATCATCACAAAAGAAGTGTTAACAGTATTCTACCGATTGTTCATTTTAAAAAAAAAAAAAAAAAAAAAAAAAAAAGTCCTATCGATCCAAGTGTCCGCTTGAAAAAGTAGAGGATATTACATCACGAGTTACAACGCAACTCGACAAATATATGATTGAGACGGAGCGTAAATTGCGAAGCAAATGAGGTCTAACTCGCTTTGTCCACAACGACACTGTACGAATTTCCACATTTACGTATGTATTGATGACATCGACACACGAATCGACGAATAAAGTTTTCACGCGCAATCTCGATCCCGCGCTAATTGGCAAAGTTGACAATACACTGCGCGTATATAGGAAAAGTTTCGAGAAAACGTCACTTACGTGTATTATGCGAGCGACCATCACCAATAAGTCTACATATTCCTTAACACTTATATGGATATGAATATGTAAATGATGACAATTGCACACATACTCCCACAATTGGAGTCGGAAAAATGTACATAACGCGCTCGGCTACTGTACGTACAGTTACAGTCCGTGGTACTCGTACATGTGTGTATAAACAGTTATAAGGCCTGCAGTGTACGCGCGCGGCGATAAGTCGCCCACGTAATATATGTGTACTTATTTTACGACGGCGATTCCGCGAGTCGTGCAATTGCGCCGCCGCTGCTTACTCTTCTAGGCGTCAATTTGCGAGTTAAGCATAGTTGTGTCACGCGGTACCTATACATATACTTACTTCTATATACTTACACACTCCACCATCGTATTAGGGAAGAACTTATGGGCCTTGGAGCGAGAAAATAATAATTATCCTGGGCTCTGTCTCTGTTTTAGTTTTATTTTTATGCTCTTTTATTTTTCCGTGTTGCCGCTGCGGGTCGACTCGAGGATGGAGGCTCCGATGTTGCGCGTTTTGCATTACCCGCGTGTGCGGTTGATGGGGCTTTTGGAGCTTTTTCGAGTGGTTGAATGGCTCTCGAGTGCTCTGTAGCGCCCGATATTTTTGGACCCATTCGCCGTGGATGATTTTTATTCCGATAACCAACGAGAGGAAGCGGCGAAGGGGGGGGGGGGAAACTGAAAATTTCACTCGAGATTCATCAAGTCAGTCCTTGCCAAGGGCCCACGTCCGTACGTAACAACTGTACAACCACAACAATCGTTTTTTTCTTTCTCACCCACTTTCCTACACGTGCATATATATATGACACTGCAAAGAGAGCCTCTCGACCCCCTTTCTCTCTCTCTCGAATCAATTTTTTCCTGGTTCCACTAAAAAAAAAAAAAAAGCAAAAAAAAGCTCTCCTCGCCCCCAAATGAGTATAACGATCTCTGAAATACGTACGTAACGAAGCCGATCGTCCAAAAGGGCCAACTCTGCTGTCGTGTGGCTCACTCGTTGTGTCCCCTTCCCCCATTCTCGTTAAGAAGCAAAAAAAAAAAAAAAAAAAAAAGAGAGCCCTTGGTGGATAATAATGGATATCTTTTTTTTTTTTTTTTTACCAATCACAGAGAAAGATCGGTGAAGAGGGAGCCAGGGGAGTATCGGGCAAAGGGTCATGGGACACGAAAGGTGATGAGCGTCGCGTGCCTGAACAGCAGCTCGGCCGTGGTCCTAGAGGAAGCCATCGGTATAAGGAACAGCACCGAGGACGAACACCGGGGCCGGGATACGACGACAGCAGCGACGACCATCGAACAGCCGAGGGACGTATCGACGGACGAGCTGGCGCTCCTAGCCAAGCTGGAAGAGGCCAACAGGTTCGCTTTTTCTCTTTTTTTTTTTTTTTTTTTCCTTCCATCTCAATAAGTATATCATATAGAATATCGCTCATTCGAGCAAGCGTGAGTACATTATTTTTTTGTCACCACGAGGTCCATACTCTCCCCGAGTGGCGCTTACCTTGTACACACGCAAAGGATGATCATAATATGCATGTGTCACGCGCGCATCGGTTACACCAAATTAACACTTTATTATATACTTTATTTTATTTTATTATTATTATTGTTGGAATATAATCATGGATGAAACGGCACGGTTGACACGATTGTTTTTTTTAATCCCAAGTTTCATTGGATGAACTTGAGCAGTGCTCCGACCGAATACCGATGGTCGACTATCAAAAGCTGTTTGTTATTTGTTGATTGCATCCTAATGGTATCGAGATTGTATATTTATATTTAGCGAGGAAAATAAAAGAGTATCCAATAAGTATGTAGATAAAAATTATCGATTGTGAAAAAAAAAAGTACAAAGATAGGTTTGAAAAAAAAGTTTTATTTTCGGTCCGTTTGCCATTTTTTTTCCTCAAGTGTTGAGAAACAAAACTGTTGGCGTGACCTTTTTTGTGCAACGCCGCGAGAGATGGAGAAACAATTCGATGATCTTCGAGAGAGAAATCCATGTCCCTCTTTTTTTCTTTTTTCTTTTTTTTTTTTTTTTCCATACATATACATATTATGTGCGATGGTAGCANTTTTATTTTATTATTATTATTATTATTATTTTTTTTTTCACCGCTTAACAAGAAAGTAGGGCTAATCAGAGTGAGTGTTGAGAAAGAAAAGAAAAGAAAAGCAAAAATGACTCGCAGGCTAATAGAGTCGGACGCGAAGTCGCTGAGCTCGCTGCAGAGCGGCCACAGCCGCAAGGGCTCGGACGCGTCCCAGGCGTCCCTGGCCTCGGGCTGCAGCGCCAACAACAGCGGCAGCAACAATGGCACGGCCTCGAACAATTGCAGCGAGGCGGCGGCCCCGTCGGGCTCGGTTAACGCGATCAGGCGCGACACACCCCCGGCGGACGATGGCGAGGAAAATTGGACGACCTGGGGTGGCATCGTCAACGACTGGGACAACCAGTGGAAGAGGCGCAAGGATTACATCAAGGAACTCGTGCGCCAGGGCATACCGCATCACTTCCGGTGAGTCGCTCAATCCCAATCAAGTACATCATCCACCTCTATATGGATTCGTGTTTATATTTGTTGATTTGTTTGTAGAGCGATCGCGTGGCAGTTGTTGTGCGGCGCCCACGATTCACCGGTGAAGAAACAATTCGCCGAGTACATAAAGTGCACCTCGGCCTGCGAGAGGATAATTAGACGCGACATAGCCCGGACTTATCCGGAGCACGATTTCTTCAAGGAGAAGGACGGCCTCGGCCAGGAGAGCCTGTTCAACGTCATGAAGGCCTACAGCCTCTACGACCGCGAGGTCGGCTACTGCCAGGGCTCAGGGTTCATCGTTGGGCTGCTGCTCATGCAGGTGAGGGCTCCTCCCCTGCTTCGAAACGACAAGTACATGCCGAATCGGTTATACATTTTTTTTTTTTTTTTTTTTTTTTTTCCAAAAAACGCAGCAAATGCCGGAAGAGGAGGCCTTTGCCGTGCTGGTCGCCCTTATGCAGGACTACCGTCTGCGGGACATGTTCAAGCCGTCGATGGCCGAGCTCGGGGTCTGCATGTACCAGCTCGAGCACCTGGTCGCCGATACCCATCCGGAGCTCTACGCCCACTTCACGGCCCAGGGCTTTCACACGTCCATGTACGCGTCCTCGTGGTTCCTCACGCTATTCACGACAGCTCTGACCCTTCCGCTCGCCTGTCGCATCTTCGACGTCTTTCTCTCCGAGGGCATGGAGATCATCTTCAAGTGCGCCCTCGCCATGCTGCAGCTCGGCAAGGAGGACCTGCTCAGCTTGGACATGGAGGGAATGCTCAAGGTGAGTGTTTTTTTTTTATGCAATTGTACTCTTGTATCGTTGATACTATTGGAAGTGGAGTGAAAAGTCGTTTGGTTGCCCAGTTCTTCCAGAAGGAGTTGCCCGGCCGAGCCGAGTCGGATCCCGATCGGCTCATGACCATCGCTTACAGCATGAAGATCAACCCCAAGCGGATGAAGAAACTCGAAAAGGACTACACGGTCCTGAAGATGAAGGAGCAGGAAGAGATGGTCGAGCTGAGGAGGCTCAGGGCGGAAAACAGACTGCTCAGGCAGAGGACGGAACTGCTCGAGGCTGAATCCGCTGAGCTGGGTGAGTTTTGTAAGGCGCGCGCGAGAACGAGCAAAAGCAACAACTGATGGCCCTTTGAAACTTTCAGCCGACAGACTGGTGCGAGGTCAAGTTTCCCGTGCAGAGGAAGAAGAGACGGCCTTTGTGATCCAGCGGGAGCTGACCGCGCTGCGGCACACCCACTTGGAAACGTCGCACCAGCTGGAGCAGGCGCACGAGGAGCTGCGCTCGCTGTCGATTCTGCTGGAAGAGAACGTCAATTCGAAGCAGTCGTCGTTGGACGAGATCAGTTCTAAGCAGGAGGAGCTCGGCCAAAAGGAGGATATGATACAGTGCCTGCAGGAAGAGCTGGTGAGGGTGAGGCTGCGCGAGGCCGAGAACGAGGTGACGATAAGGGAGCTCAGGGGACGCATACAGGAGCTCGAGCAGGACAAAAAGACGCTTAGGGAAAGCACGCCCGACAACTCGGTGGCGCATCTGCAGGAGGAGCTCATCGCAGTCAAGCTCAGGGAGGCCGAGGCAAATTTGTCGCTCAAAGTGAGATCTATCGCTGTTTTTTTTCTTTTTTCTTTTTTCTCTTGATAGCTTTGAATTGAGTGTGGATTTTTTTTTTGCTTTCGTTCAGGATCTCCGTCAGAGGGTATCGGAGCTCAGCGTGGCGTGGCAGAAGCATCTGCAGGAGCACAGAGCCTCACATGCGGCCCCAGCTGCCGACTCGACGCCGAAAAAGCTTCTGTTTTGGGAAAATCGGGGCCACGAGGTGCAGAAGCTCGAGGAGGATCTGATGACGACGCGGATTCGCGAGATGGAGGCGCTCACGGAGGTCAAGGAGCTCAGGCTCAAGGTCATGGAGCTGGAGACGCAGGTGCAGGTGTCGACGAACCAGTTGCGCCGCCAGGACGAGAACGGCAAAGTACTTAGGGATCAGCTCGAGGTGGCTCTGGCGCGCGAAAAGGAGCTCGAGACGAAGCTCAGGGAGGCACACGATAGGTACACAGATCTCGAGTCCAAGATGAAGGACGACACGATGATGGCGAGGATCAGGGACGCCGAGCACGCCCAGCAAGTCGCCGAGCTCGCGCAAAAGATATCGGTGCTCGAGTTAAAAGTAGGAAGTTTATGTTTCTTCATTATCTGGTACAATAGAAAGGTACGAACAGTTAAAGAAAAACAATATTTTCGTCGTCGTTGCAGAACGAAGAAATGTACACCGAGGGCGAGCTGAGAAACAACATGGATGACAGCGAACGCGTACGAGAACTGCAAGACAAAGTTGCGGAGCTGAAGGCTGAAGTGAGTATCGATCGACTGCTTTCAAGCTTTTGTTTCTCGGAACTCTTGATTATTTCGGTGCCACGTGATTCTGCGATACCTATACATTTTTTTTCACACAGCATTTGCACACGGCTGTCGCAGGGTCATGTTGATAAATAATAAACTTGTCCGCAGCGTGAAAATATCCGGTAAAACGTCCTGCATTGCAGTAAGAGGTAAAACACACAGTCAAATGCAACATCAATAAAGAATTTGAGTCGTGACAAGTTACTTCTTACTTCAACGTGTGGGAGGGGAGTCATGCTTTTTAAACAGCTTAACATTGCACTGTACAATATATAACACAGCCACTCGACTAAATGGAAATTTACGTCTGCAAAATTTGTTTATAAATACGAAAAGACATGAGAAACACCCCAGAGGTTTTTCAGCAAATTATTAATAACAAAGCTTTCCTCGCTTCTGTGCATAGGCGACTACAAAATACATAACAACGATAATCGTGCTTTGCTTACATATATTTTCACTTGCCTCGATAAGAAAAACTTTGTTTTTTGGTTCAATCGATGCTATACATAGCTTTCATTTCAATCGACGTTAATTTTTTTTATTTGATAATAAAGTAAAGCTCAATCATGCCTCACAGTATAAATATACAGTACTTGGCTCTGATTTCTTATGACTGTATATTTCTTTTTTTTTTTTTACAAATTTTTCAGAATTGCTTTTTTAAAAAGCAAATCGTTCGCACGAATTGGATTCGCTCATGTGCGTAAGTTTAGTTGAGAAAAAAAAAAAATAAAAATATAAAGTGGTCTGAATAAAATCCGAAGCGCTAAATCTGGATCGTACAGGGTTCATCGTTGGGCTGNGCTCGCGAGGGATACAGAAGCGTCGCCAGCCACGGCTCGGTTCTGTACTTTGTCGTCGCGAGTCTCGCCCTCGTCGATTCGATGTATCAGTTCTCGCTCAAGTACTTCAATCAGGTGCGATACGCGTCGTTGCTTTTTCACAATATTTAAAATTAGATGAGTGACGCTTTGCTGTTGTTGACGCATATACACGGGTGAAATGAAAATGAAACCAGAGTGCGGTCAGCGGTGAAAATAAATCGTCACCGGCTCAATCGGTGATTTTACACTTTTGGCTTGGATGAACAATTCAAGATTCTTCTTTGCCAATCTGTTATATCAAAACAGTTACTATAGATGTATAATGACCAAGAAGTCAAATATTAATACATATTGCTTGCACATTGAACGATTGAAAAATAAATAAACATATACCGAAAAAAAAAAAAAAAAAAAAAAAAAAAAAGGTGTAATCTTTCTGCCAAGGTAAAGCTTACGATTAAAAGAACACGCCACTTATTTACGACTAACTCACTATATTTCTGTTGTGTTTTGTCGCATTAGTGTCCCACACCAATCATCAGTCCGGAGATAGAACTCTTGACATGGCTCGAGTAAGTTTTGAAAAACTCGTCGGCATTTAAAAAAAAACTTTTTCTTACATCTCCAATGTGTTTTAGAATTTTCTTGCTTTACCGTCTGTAACACGTATAACTAAAGAATATTAATTCAAAGTAATTTTTTAGTTGTAGTTATAAACTTATCGTGCTAAAGCTATAGTATATGTTCAATTTTAGTATCACTTATGTGTTTTTCTAGAGAATTTTAAAGTACAATCAGAAAATTAGTATTGTTTTTTTTTTTTAATAGCTGTAACAATAATCCATAGACAAAAACTTGAAAAAGCTGTCTATTGAAAACTGATGCTTTATACTTACTTTCAGACCAATGGGCGAAACTGAAAGTAAGTCAAATACTTAAATGCGACGAACTCTGACTGGTATCACTTAACTGTGCGTGATGTATTTGTGTGTTTAGTTGTATTTTTTTTTTTTTTGTTCGTTACCGTTTTAATTGTGTGTCAGTAGATGTGTCACATCTTTTCATTAGAGCATGTGCTATTTATCATATTTCCGTTTCTTTACTAAAATTTACAATGTAGTGTTTTTTAGATATTGTTGTACATAATTTTATATCCATCGATCACTGTTTACTAACATACTTACACTAAAATAATGTATACTTTTATTCTTTGTCTGTGTTGTATTTTTCCCTAGTAATTTATGTTTAAGTGTTGTATAATAAAGTATTGAATGAACTATGAATTTACAATGTAAGACATTGTTGTTTGAATTAATTCTTAGAAGCCTTAGATAAAAGTACAATTAGATAAAGTAGGTGATGTACAACTAGATATACAATGAAACACATGTTTGACGTAGACAAAATAATCCACATCAGTTATCGCGTACTCTCCGAATAAAAAAAAAAAAATGAATGATGGTTTGTTTTGGCGGATGCGAAAGTGTTAAAGTTAATTTCGCGAGCATTATTTTTTTAACTTCCATCAAATACGACACATCTCAGTATGATTTACTCTTTAAAACGCTCAACATGTAATATTTGCCAACTGCATGAAGCCTATGATTATATATCCATCTAATAAATGTTTTCAAACACTACACTTCAGTACATTTATGTGGATCGAAATGAAAAGAAAACCTCAAATATGTGCATGAGTAACGATATACGCTCGCCAAAGGAGCGACTTTCAACTTTTGCGTCCCCCCATCACTATAATTTTATAAAAAGTTTTAAAAAAATTTTTAATGCACCACGCAGGTGTTGAGGCTGGAGAGTTGGAAGGAGCGCTGGACGGGGGGTAAGGGATCGCCGGCCGTGCGTAGCTGCAGCATCGACACGGATAACGAGCTCGACGACCGGGACGACCTCAAGATCAATCTGCAGGACGCCGACTCGTAATATACATAACAACAATAACAACACCAAGTACTGTTTGATATAGTTAAATATCTAGACGCGCGTGCCGTCGAGTCGTCGTTCCGTGCGTGTGTTAAGTATTCCTGGTTTTTTTTTCTTTTTTCCAAGTGGGTGCGTTTATGCGGCGAGGAAGTGATTTGTAAGCTCGGGGTCTTTTGTCGTCGACAGAGCTGTACTCGTCCTCCTTTTTGCCATTTTTTAAATCAAGCATTTTTACGAAAAAAAAAAAAAAAAAAAAAAAAAAAAAAATGTTCATGAAAAGTGAAGGATAATTTGAATGCATGTTAAAACGAATTTTCGTTTACTGCGTTTCAAGCATAATATGTTATATAAAACATAATACAACTGAATAGTTTTATTTATAGCGAAAGAAAATGCTTGTGATTTGTGAGATGTATATTAATTTTTATGTCAACCAGCGATGTATTTTATTTACGAGGTTGTCCGTCGAGAAGCGATTGTTTTTTTCTTTTTACAATGCGAGAGAATTTTCATTGCATACGTGTGTGCGTTTATATCGTACCTATTAATCGAAAAAATCATTCCGAATGCAAAGTTTCATCATAAATGTTTGTGAAATATTTCATACCTGTGTTGAAAAATATCTGTATGGACTTGGATTATCAGAAAAAAGGTCTCCTCGTGCAGCACAACCTCATCAATTGACTAACGTTGCTATGTATAAAAGTCATTGTTCAAATGATTTTTGTTTGTAAAATGTAAGATATCCAGCGTTAATCAATGACCTCTTCGATGATTCTGCATTTGCGAAAAAAAGCATTTATTTTTAATACAAACAGAAAGATGATGATGATGATGATGATGATGATGATGATGATAACAATCTATTTCCATATGGGTTTGTTTTGAAAAGTGTATTTTTAAACGATAAAATCGATGAACAGTCATCGAAGAGGCTTCACACTCAACATCACCCATTCAACATGTAGGTATACATATACGGCACATGTAAAGAAAAAAGGTATTTTTTTTAAATCATCACAAAAGAAGTGTTAACAGTATTCTACCGATTGTTCATTTTAAAAAAAAAAAAAAAAAAAAAAAAAAAAGAAAATTTCGTCTTGATAAACAATACAACGAAGATAAAGAAAAATATTAAAATCCAAATAACCGAAACGCATGGAACGATCGCGACACGATTGTTACAGTGAACAATCAACGTTAAATACTCTTCGTCGTCGCAATATGAGCGGAAAATAATTTAAAAAAAATTTTTTTGAAAAAGAGAGAAATAGTGGAAGATGATTGTTTCTCTCTGAAACAATCGCTTCTTCATTCCGTACGTATCGAGGTCGCGCGCGCGATTCTTTTCTTTTTCGTAATAAGTATAAAGTAAAACGTAGGTGACAGTAGTTTGATTGGATAATTGACTTTCCTCGCCGGGATGGTTCGTGACTAAACAGTCGTAAACACGAATCGTTTCGATCGAGATACCGATCGCCTTGTGGACTTACTTTAGACACTGGATTTATTTATTTATTAACGTTGCGTTCTATTGTTTCAACGTTGGACAAGAAGTATTTTTTTTTTTTTTTTTATAATTACAGCAATAAACTGCGATGTTGTCGATAATGTGATAAAATGTGATTTCGAATGAGCTACAAGTGTTACAATATACGTCCATGAAATGTTGCACCAATGACAGTGTCAGACGAAAAGGTCTACTAGGCGATCGTTTGCTCGTACGAATGTAGCGTCGGAATTTGTGAAAAAGTTTTCTAGCTAATTTTCGTAATACATCACCGTATGAAGCAATTAACTGTGCAAAGTGAACATTGTCAATTGTATTTAAAATAGGAATGATAAAAAATTGTCACATAAATTTTTTTGTCTTTGGGTAAACAATTTTTACATTGTGTCATCAGGACAAAGTGGCAATGGTTTCCCATTTGCGTGACAGTATTTTCGACGATTGTATTTCTTTTCAACAGTATAAAATATTGTACTTCGGATGAGTATTTCGTATACGTATACTCACACGTATCAAGTATTTCAAAGTAAAATTTTATTATTTATGTGTAGGTCCTAATCGGATCGCAAAAGATCTTCGAATAATATGTGATAAGTGACTTAAAAAGTTTTACACGATTGATTAATAACTAGCCGAAAATTAAGGGGAGGTGTTTAATTTTTAAGGAATCACAAATAAGCACGTACACTATATTTAGATTCAACAAAATAAATATTAGCATATCTATCGTTAAGTTGTCGAGAAGGCCAATAATGCTTATGTATTTTAATTTAAACGAAAAGAAAAAAAAAATTTATGTTTATTTATAATTTATGTATTTGCATATATTTTATCGTCGTTATTTTATACATGATGTCTTAATTGCTTTCGTACCATTATTACATTTACGATTAAGTTGATCACGATTCACACACGACAATCGCTGTGACAATTTTTTTTCGAACCATCCACATGTGTATAGTTTTACCATCTGTAAAATAATTATTCATAAAAAATTTGTCCGTTAGAAAATTTGAAATTTAGTGAATGAACATTAAAAAGAACAAAAACGGTATTAAGTATATCAGTGTAACGTGAATTGATGGTTTTTAAAGAGCAATAGGCAACAAAAACATAGTGTGTGTAATCTCAGTTAAGTAAAAAAGTAGACAGTTAAGTATATCGCGCATCCGTTATATCATCACCTTAGACTTTGTATCGAAAGCCGTATCCTACTCATTTCTTCCTTCGTGTAGTAAAGAGTATACATACATGAGTATTGGTAATAAATATTATGCGGGGCTGCGTTGTCATGTGAAGGTAGTTTTTTTTTTCTACATCGGTGGTTTTTCAACATATCACGCGCGCCGCTTCAGCATCTCTTCCAATAAATTACTTTTATTACCTACTGTTTTTATTTTTGCTCTATTCTTTTGTTTGTAATTGAGAAAGTATATAGAAAGAAGGCAATGGCATTTTTTAGGAAGTTTTTTGTGTGTTTGGGCGATATTTTTTTTTTTTGTGTTTCCCTGAAGTATTTTTTATTGTACTACATATTTATAGTTTATTGGTATGATTTTGATGAAGTGAAAAAAAAATTTTATTTAAATAAAGATTTTATTGTACAAAATGATCCATGGTTTCATTTACCCTCAAACATACTATTTAAAAAAAAAAGTCAGACAGTTGGTTTCATCTTATTTTATGAGTATTTTACCACTTAAACGCGTTACGAGGTGACTGATATTTTTTTACGTGTTGTACGATAGGTATAATTATCCCAAACGACAATTTAAAAAAATTCTTGAAAAGTCGTTAACGAAATGTACGTACGGATGATTACGTGGTATAGTTAAACTTTACTTTTTTTAAATTTTTTAAATTTTTATTTCCTGATTGATTAGTCTTTCGATCAATAAAAGTTGTAAAATTGGAAAAAAAAAATTAATAAAAACTCATACTCTACCACTGATTTATCTTATAAATTAAATAGTATGAAACCGATGACTGTAAAACCAATATCGAGGAAGAGCAATTTATTTTACTGTAGTGTTAATAAACAATACAAATGGCTTTCAAGAATCTAATTTTAGCCAAGCTGGCTAGATAGATTAGTAATAATTTAATGCCGTGTGTTTAATTTCTACTCACGGCTTTCACGGATCGCTGATTTCAGTTTCCAACTAAAAACGAAAAAATGAACTCTACTAATTGCATCTGGTATACACAACTACCCCAAACTCATTAAACAAACATCGAGCATCGTAGCTGCGTACGAGATCGTTCTCAAGAAGCTCAGGCTTCGAAAGTCAAGTTTGTACCAATATCTGTATACGTGTAGCCTTGCAAAGAATCCCCGCATTTAATTAAAAATTTAACTACTTTATTCCATCTGATAACCCGGATATAAGTCATAGATGGATGAGCAAATGAAAGGAGTAATTGAAATTTTAAGAAAAAAGTTTTGACAAATTTTTTTTTCCGTTTTATCCTGCGAATCGAAAGATACAAAGTCGATCATTTTCAAAATCTTATGCAAGGTGAAAGCAACGACCTATGAAACACCAAAGCACATAGTGTTTTTTTTACGTAAAAATGAAAAAAAAAAAAAAACGAATGAAAATGTACGTCATGGGGAAACCGATCCAAGCAAAAGTACACGATTTACGCGCGTCCTTTTTATATCTGTGGCGTTTTCCAACCGCTCGAGCGCAAAACGCTAATGCACTCCGTTAATTAAATTTCGTCTTTCCACCCGCTCCCTCGAAAAGAAGATACGCGCGGCAAGGGGCGTTGACTAGCTGCCGCGTTGAAGATTTTTTCGTTTGCTTTCATACGCAGCTAATTTTTTTCTTCAATCTAAATTTGTACGTAAATCGGTTTGAAATCAAATTCAGTTTAATCAGTTCCGGTTACACAACCGTTATTACCGAATTTGGTAATAACAGTTGTGAAACCCTTGATTTAACTGTTCCAAATATATATTTTCCCTCCGAGTCGAGATTGAAATGTCTCGACAAGTCCATAAAAGATTGCGCTTAATCTCGACTCGCCGGTGAACTCAGTACGCGATAAAATTAAACACAGAAATTAGCGATCAACCGATTTATTTTGAAGTCGGAACTTTCCACGGAAGACAGGGAGGGCTCGAAGGGCGAGACCCGCCGCTACACAGCGCGAATACACCTATACAAACAACAGACGGACGCGTAAATAGCGGCGGTACACGGCTCTTCAAGTGCTTCACCTTTGAACCTCGTGTTTACGAGTTCAACGGCCGGCCGTCACTTTCACTGATTACCTGGTGTCATATATATTGTTACATTGGCACGCGTGAGCATCCATAACGTTTAACAATTTTTTTCGTTTTGTCCCTATGTACTTAATTATCGTGCGAGAGGAAGAAAAAAAAAAAAAAAGAATTTTGTTTTGCGTCTCTTTCGGTTATTACACGCGCGAGTTCGAAGAGTCTCCCGAAATCCCCTCGCGGCTTAAGAAGTAGGTACTTGTTAGCGAGCTCTACGCGTATATAATTACCGGAACTCCCCGAGCGAAGAATCAGGAGCAACACTCCGCTATGCGCTTTAATGAACAAAGTACCCACTTTATAACTTCATCTCTGGAAGCGTACACATTTTTCCCACCTAAAATTCAAAGCTCAAAATTAAAGTGGGAAAAAAAACCATAGTGGTATCGGGTATCGAAATCGATGTGTATATATATATAAATCCAATTAGAGTGGATTCTACATGCAATGGCACATGAGCTATACAGTAGTGTATGCCTTGCACGCGTCCGGAAGCCAATGGAGGTTGGTGGGGGGGGGGGGGGGGGTGAGGGAAACAGAGACACAGAGGAAGAAACAAACGACGCACCCACGCGAGCAAACATCACGCAGGGATATGTGTACC